CGCGTGATCACGTGTCTTGTGGAAATTAAATGTAGCGACGGGGTAAATGAGCGACGAGTATCGTAATTTTCGTAGATTTGAATGGCCTTGATGTTTAACTTATTGTCGATGTTTTACGCAGTTCTGCGTTGCGGGGTATCTTATTTGGTAAACAATATTTATTTGACATTAATTCAATTTCGAACTATCACTAATTGTTAAACTTGATGAATGTCGGTATACAAATCTATGGATAAGTCACTTCTTTATAAAGGAAATTACTTAATATCCAGAGAGAGAGAGAGAGATTTTCAAGATAAATGTACACTGAAAGAAAAGATTGGTTGCTGTAACAATTTAGATAGTAAAATATGGCATAGCAAATTTTTAATTGCGTTGCCTATTCGCAATGTCAGTACATGATTTCGATAGACTAACGCAACTAAAAATTTGTTGCTGCAGCCGATTAAAAATGCTATGCCATATTTTAATATCGAAATTGTTACAGCAACCAATCTTTTCTTTTAGTGTAGATTTAAATTTTTCAGTTAATGGAGAAAACTACATTTGACGCTCTATAAATAAGAGTAATGTATAAATGAATAATAATAATTTTTAACAAATTTTACATTACACGCATGAATTATATTTCGATATAAATTGAGATTTATTCGCGCGGATTTAACATTGAGAGATTTTGGCAAATAAAAGCGTTGCTAAAAAACGTTTTTATGAAAGAAATTTTAATTAATATGAAAAAATGTACTCTTAAAATTTTACCAAATCAATTTTCTATATCTCGCAAAATCGTTTGAGTAACGTATAAAAACTGAATTGACGAATTGATGAGTTATTTCCATACACATATTTTTGTTTCAAAATTTTCCAGTACTTACTTCATTATTTTTCTTTTCATCGGACGTATTATATTTCGAGATTGTATTGAATTTGACCAGCCAGCTCTGTTTTAAAATAGAATTATTTGTCACGCAGTGAGTCAAGGAAAAATCAAAGGAAAATAGTCAATCTAGTGACAAGAAATTAGCAGATTTGTGAAAATTATGCTGCAAGTACGAATTTAGCAATAGATTTCCTATAGAAATCTGAAAGAAATAGATCAAGATGACTTCGAAAAGGAACAATAAAAAAAAATTGCGCGATATATTTTTATTAAGTAATTTTCGTGTTTTTAATCGTTAGCGATATACAGCTAACAGTTATATACTACAGGATTATATAGATTCTTTGCCAATTTTCGAGTTAATTTTTTTTCTTCTTCATTGAAGGCCATCACCTCATTGCTCTACATTAGCTTTTAACTTGCGGTATTATAAATGTCTCGGTAACTATAAGCACCAAATGAAACTTTATCATAATGAAGTCTAGCTTAAACTAATCGGAAGGTGAGCAATCTGTTTAATTAATTTTATATTAAAATTAACTGTATAATAATTAATTTTAACTATGTAATTTCATTTACATAATTAACAGCGGCTAAAACATATAAAAACATACGAAAGTTTTCTAAATCATCATTTCTTTATTAAATAAAAAATAAATAAGAACATTTTTACTTTTTAATCCAAAATTTGTTTCAGAAATGTTTACGAGTGTTATAATAAATATATGTAAATATTGCAAAACAAAACTAACTACGTAGGTTATATTTTCGTTCTGAAATGTAGAGTTCTTGGATTTCATGATAGATGAAGCGATATATTCTTGTCTGCTCTTTTGCCCTTCCGTATTTCTTTCTTACGAAATGTCGTCTGCCGAATTGTCAATTCGCTTATATACACAGTAGACAGATGATGAAAATGCTGTGGATCAAATATCGCGTACGTGATCTACCTACGAACGCCTAAGACAAGATATTAAAAGTTTGGTTTCACGAAGAATATCTCTCTTTGCGAGACGATCGCGACAATTATATTAATAGTATTCTGTCAGTTACATATAATTGGAAAAATTTTTGAAGAGACGCACGTAATCGAAACGTCAGAGAAGTTTTAGAAAGCGGTTTATTTTATGCTATCTATCTCTTTTTCCTCATTTTAAGAGAAAAAAATTCTGTGATTAATTATTTCCCTCGGATAATCTGGATGAATTCTTTCTTCATCATTTAAACCATTTTAAATTCATCTTGATCAATATATTATATATGCATTCATCTAAAGCATTTGACATCGAATTTCATTCAAGAATCATTGTAAAGATCATAAATAAATAAAATTGAACTGATTTACAAGATTTCTGTTTCCAAGCACCTAAATGGTGATTCTTATGTATTTTTAGCTAAAAAAAAATATAAAGTTAAAAAGTTCCGTTATTTATAGATTTTGGGAAATCAATAATATCAATTTTATTATTTTAAATTAATGATATCTATGGTATCTCGTAAATTTGCAAAGCAAACAACAAAGAATAATGATCAAAATCGAACAATAATGAATGTTATATATAAGAATAATAATTGAATTTATTACGAATTTCTTACGAGAGTTATAAAAATATGAAGGTACGTTTTGTTTTATTTATAAACTTTATCAGTAGAAAATACCAAATTGTAATAAAATAATAAGACGTCGCAAAGTTTTCTGCTTATTATCTTATTAATTTGATGTTTTTTATTAAATTAATGAAAACTAAATAGAGTCGAAACATATTTTTATAATTCTCGTAAAGAATAAATTTGATTATTACTCTTATATTTTACAACATTCATTACTGCTCGATTTTGACTGTTCCTTTTTATTATTTTAATCATTTAAAATTCTACATGAACAGTACATGAGGCTTTATATTATTACTATGTAATAATAGTAAATTTATATTATAAAATATAAATTTATTTTTATATATTGTATAAACTCTCTATAATTTTTAAAGTGAATTGTACTTTGAACAGTGAAATCTCACTTTTAATGATTAAAAATTGAGCCACTCTTTTTCCAAGACTAGCTCAATTTTCACTCTTTACTGAGATTTCACTCTAAAGAATTTGAAGAGAAAAGGAATATTTAAATTTCTTATAGCTGTACATTAAATACATTAGAAGAAGATTACGGATATCGACATACCACTTTATTTCTTGATTAATATTTCTTAAACAAAAGTTAAAAATAAAACTTTAGACACATAAATATAAAATTAAAAAGTGTCTTTCTCTATTATTACAGCAGTTTGTAATATATTTGTTTGCCAATTTTGCAATAATTAATTTTTTCATAAGATAAACAAAAGTGAACATCTAACAAAGTAGATTCCAAAATGCAGTAGGCAGTTAATGTCACATATTCCTATTCTTTTCTTTCACAAGAACCTGTACAAAATACTTACAATTGAATGCGCTTAAGATTTTTTTCTCTAAAATCTATTTATTTCTATATAAAACGTTTTTTATTCATATATGCATACTTTATGCTGTTGTGCAAAACGCAAACATCTAAGAGTCTTGAGAGTTTCTTTTTTTTTTTTAGAGTTTTCTCATAAATTTATGATTGCCTTTAGCTTCTATAGGGCTATTTAACACTATAACGTAAACGGAAGATGTTTACGGCAGTATTAAAACATAATTACCCCAAATTAGTATATCATACTTCATAGAGAAGAGGTAGAATGTGATAATGATGATAATATCGATTGATAAAAAAAAATCTCGTAGTAAAATTTTCCTCGCCATAGGGATCGCTGAAAGACACAATAATTCGTTAGAGGTAGCGAAGCATTGCATCCAATAAATAATACTTTCCCATTCTTGCCGAACGTTCCGTTCTTTCGATCTCGCAATATTAAAGATACATTAACTCGCTCGGTGGACCGGTAGTTTTTGTTCTGACTACGACGGGAGAAATATGACTCCGATCGCTTCTTTTCATTTTGAAAAAGCGAGCGTAAGGAGAGCAATAATAACTTGAACGCCAGTTGTTCAAGAAAGATTCATTGCTCTCTTGCATAAAGAACCTAACGAGCTTGAGATTTTTCTTCTTGGCCACGCTGACGTCGGCATTGAACTCTAATATTGTGGATTAACGTATATACAAAACGTATCCGTTACGATGATTTACGAGAAAAACGGTAAAATACATGTAATTTTGAAATTGTGTTAAATGTGCCGCAACATATAATTCTTAATATTCTGTTTATAATTTTGAAAGAAAAATCTTTTAGTGTTTACAATATAAAAATCTTTCAATAATTGTTATAATTAAATCTTTTTGAAGAAGTTATCTTTGCTATAGATAAGAAGAGATTTTATAATATTCTCAAAGAACTTTATTTCGCATGCAGTAGCTTGTACAGAAAAAGAAATTAAACATTATTTGTTACATTAATTACGCATCTTTATTTAACTCATTTTAGAAAGTATTTAGTTAACGTTGGAATTTAATGCATTTTGTATCTTCTAGAAAAAAAGAGAATTTTAAAATAATATTCTTTTTAAAAGAATTAATTTTCCATTGAGAAAATTAACGCACATTATCGATATTATATTTTGGAATAGAAATGAAAAGAATACGTACATGTAATTTTGGTAATAATATATTATATATTCGTATCGCTTTATGTAAATGGAGTTTAATATGAGATTAATAAAGATTGAGGCTTTTCTTTCTGGCTGCGCGTTAATGCTGCTATTGACCCGCTACTTCAGCATCATAAATAAAATTCAGTACGCTCGCGCGCGTACACTCTATTACAATTTACGATCAAGCGTGTAATGGAAGTTGCATTAACACAATTTTTACGTTATACCAATAGACAAATTGCGAAAGTTTCCTCTTTTCAGATCACCACAAGGAAAAATATAATGGTTTGTTTCTTTTCCTGCCGGTAATTTTCACGTTTCGCTGAAAATTTAAAGAACAAGAAAAATGAATAATCAGATTCTTTTCCTTTAATCTGTATTTTTAACCTTTAAATTATGAACTTACAAATTGCACTCGTCATTTATAATACGCTAAATTCTGCATGAAATGAAGGACTGTAATTTCTCCATCTAACAATTGTTTTTGTTTCAGATCGCTACAGGATTCCAGGATGACACACAGGACGAAGTATTCTCGGATACAGACATTGCACGAGAGGTAAGTACTGTCCTCTTTATAGAATATATATCGCGCGTTCTTTTTAAAAATCATTTATTATAAATGTTAGACTACAATACACATGTTATTATAGTCATTTAATGCTTGATCAAAGGATTAAGATGTGTATCGGTGCACTTGGAGAAAAATATTATGATGATAATAACTAAAAGTGAAACTGCATATTTTATCTACATATAAAATTACTATACATAATAAACTAATGTACACATATGGAATACTATTTTATAATTGTTAAATAATTATAATTATATTTTATAGTTGTTAAATAATTATAAAATTATTTAATGCGTGTACATATATATATATATAATTTCTACCATTTTTCTTTCTATTTATGAATATGCGAAAAATTACATACTACTTATTATTTATGCGTTCATATTTCGTGCTTAATATCTCAATAACGTTCTCGCTGACTGGCGTCTAGTAAAAAGTCTGAATATAAAATATGTCGAAAGACCTCTGGAAGTCGTTTGATACAATTTTGAATATTCGGTGTATCATATAGACTGCGAAATTCTTTTCTTTCTGAATAAATAAGAATCTCAGCGAAAAGAAACTGGAAGCGGGAGCAATTAAAGGAATCCGACATGTTGTGACCTACATAATCTCCCGCAGATCCGACAGGGGTTCCTTACTTGAGAACAGGTCACGAATAGTCGCAGTCGATCGATTTTTAATATAAATAGATGTGTAGCACACGGATACACGCGCGCGAATTCGCCTAATCTTTTCCGTCGTTCTCTTCCCGCGCCAGGTCTTCTTGTTTCTCTTCCTTGTTTCCTCTTATTTCGTATTTTTCGGCGACCATCTTCTTTCTTTCTCTCTTTTCGCCACTCCACTCTTTCGATACTACCAACCACTCTCCAACTATTCATCCTCTTTTGAATTCTTGTCTCTCTCGCAATTCTTCGCTCCATTTCTGTTTTAAGTTCCTTTCATCTGCCTTGCGCACGTACACACATCTCTTAAATCTTTTCTCTTCTTTCATACTTCTTTTGTACCGTCACCTACTGTTTTCCTTTTTTGTTCTACTTGCTTTACGGCTAAAGAAATTTATTTACCGAAACGAAAATTGCGATATTCGGCTCTCGATTACACTTTGCCTCCTAGCAATATTCGGTGATATAAACTGGAAATATGCGATCGTTGAAATTGCATCGCAGCGTCGTTTT